AAAAGGGTGAAGTAAGTCAAAACCCGATCCAGTTGGAAGTATCCTGATCTAGTTCATTCCTTAAGGGAAGATATCCTTCTCTAAAGCAACAAACAAGAGTATGTTGAGGCAGAAGCTCGTGGTCAGGAGAACCGAGGTAGATAAGAATTCCAGACAATGCTTTGAAGAAGTGTCTGACAAACCCCTTATGTATGAAGTTATATAAAACCTCATCTGGCCGGATTCTGTAGGACAAATACTTGTTCTAAAGACTCGAAGCAGTGAAGATATGTCAAGATTCTGCTGTAAGCTAAGGATGAAGAAGAAGACCGGCCTCCAAAACTCATGGCTGAAGAAATTAATCTCAGTCAGTTGAATCATGCTGGTTTGAGACCCGGTAGGAGACCGACGTAGAATATGTACGTGCATGCTAAGCACGGATGTGGATAAACTTATCTCAAAGTATGGAATCCTGCACCATAGTCTTGCCATAACCAAACATTATGCAAGAGAAACATTCATCCAAGACAAGAATGCCATATAGCCAGAATTTGCAACAAGTCCCAATGCAATTCCAACAATCTAGACAATAAAGCAGAATGATAAAATCTCCAATAAAAACTTCATCAGTGAAGAGAGATATCATGGCAACTTGCAAGGGCACCAGACAAAAGAAGAATATTCTGTGAAGGCCCCGTGGCATAGATGGATTGAAAAGTAAGGCAGTAATATTGCAATTGTCTATTGTAATAATCAACAAACCATCCCAACAGGCTGATGAATATAAACAGGCCAGCTGAGCAAGTTATTCAAGTGATAGAATATCAAGGAATCTGTAGAAGGAATCTGTAGAAGGAATCCTGGAAGAAGCAGAGAAAGAATGCAGCATCCAGATGCCAGTAACGTTTGAGTACAAGTCTATGGAGAGTCAAGACTATTTTTTTTTTTTTTTTTTTTTAACAATCTTGTTAATGATATCAAACCAAAAGAGGCATCAGATTGCAACATACTATCCAAAGGTAGCTTGAGCGTAGATACATGTGAGCCTGTATTATGAACATGTTCAAGAGGACCAATCCACTGTCATAGGATGGAAAAACTGAAAGCTTACCCTTAGCCGGTCGAGTGCTGCTAATGGAAAGGCTGTTATCACATATTCACTGAATAAATGGAATTAGAAGAGAAAACCCAGAAGGCAATCTCAAACATGGGAGACGACTCCAATGAGTAATAAAGTAATCACAATCCAATCGGCCCGAATGTCCAAAGTGAATCCTCCATCAGATTCCAATTGAAATCGCAAGTTGGAACCAAAAACAGGCTGGGCTTGGGAGGCGGTCCACGCCGGGACGATCCCCCGGCGCCATGGACAGTCGAGCAGCTGGCACCATGGACAGTCGAGCAGCTAGTTAGATTAACCGGAGTCATGTTGAGAAAACATCACTATGATGCGTACATTGGATGAAAAATCCACAGTAGAATGGAATCTTTGTCTCAGAGTTAAAAAGGAACCCCAAAAATCCTTTTAAGAGTGTGGAGAAATCCCACGACAATTGACGAGTACCCATCAGTAACGCAAGGTCGCTTAACTGGTTTAGAAAGTGCGCCCTCTGTTGGGTAAAAACCACGTACATGTGGTGACTCCTTGGGATTAGTTTTCCATTGTCTTGGGAATTCTTGGGAATTTTCCATTTTGATGTGTGGCCACGCTGCACCATGTGTCGATATCGCGTGGCGTGGCAGTGCAGTGCATGCAGTCCTTGTTAAGTTTCTCAAAATTTCAGTTCATTTAAATCCAGTGTTCACAATAAAAGCACATCAAACCTTGTTACTTGTATTTTTAAAGTCAGAACATGATAAATTATATAAAATATATAAAATACACGCAAAAGTCCACTTGGTGCTGAAGGCGATGGAGAAAATCTCGGGCTCGCCCGGAAAGCTTGATCATAGTGTGTCCTTGCGTGTAGTGTAGATGAAGCTGGCGGTGGTCGGGTGGTGCCCCGCCTCTGTGACCGGGCGGGCAGGTCGAATTACCTAGGGACCTATGGGTATCGAACGCCAAGCCTTGCCTACCCGCAAGCACATGAGTGGAAATCTCTGATTCTGCTGCTTGCATGTGCTGTGTGCGGGATTTTTCGGGAATCTTGCAGTGACTCTCGCTGGAGAGAAGTGCCTGTTCCCGGGGTATTTCCTACTGTCGAACCCGTGGATTAGACCCGGTCGTAGTGGCGGAAATATCACGCTTGTATGAAGCCTGGGAAGGGACAGGGTGGAAATTTGTTTTGGAATTTCCTAATTTGTTCGCACGAATTACTAATTCGTTCGCACGAATTGCTAATTCGTTCGCACGAATTCCTCTTTCGTTCGCACGAATTCCTCATTCGTTCGCACGAATTCCTATTTTGTTCGCACGAATTCCTAATTCGTTCGCACGAATTACTAATTCGTGGGAAGGAATTAGTAATTCGTTCGAACGAATTAGTAATTCGTTCGCACAAATTCCTATTTGTAATTCGTGGGAACGAATTAGTAATTCGTGGGAACGAATTAGTAATTCGTGCGAACGAATTACTAATTCGTTCCCACGAATTACTAACTCGTTCGCACGAATTCGTAATTCGTGGGAACGAATTAGTAATTCGTGCAAACGAATTAGTAATTCGTGCGAACGAATTAGCAAACTCCCCCAAAAAAATTCCACCCTGTCCCTTCCCGGGCTTTATACGCTTGGAGTGTTGGATGGTAGGGTGATTTAATTTCCTTCGGAAGAACGACTTGAGCTAACAGTAACAGTTTTACTAATTTTGGCGGAGTCTGCCATGTTTTTACAGGCACAGCGAGTACGGTTATATTGTACGTGTTGGCGCTACGCGTCGCTGAAAAAACTAGGAGTCTTGTTTGTGTAACAGGGCTATTAAAGGGACATGTAGTGGGCGCAGAGGGTGAGGCTTGGGCGCTATTCTTTTCAGCGAATGTTTGTGTGCATGCGCACTGATATGCAAATGTAGGTAAACAGAGGATGTTTTCTGTAATGGAATGCGAGTTGTGTTGCGATGCTAAAACTTGATGATCATTAATTTGGAAGCATTTAAGAATGATTTGTTCCCTCCTGTGATTAATATTCTAATCTGAATATAGTGACTCAGAAATCTCCGAGCTTAACAAAAATTTTGTTTGCAAAATTTTGTACACCAAAAAAAAAAATGGGATGTTAAATGGGTTGGCCATAGGGTTAGGAATGTACATGTATGTAGGCTCAAGAGATTTTCGCTTTGGGGAAAAAACAATTTGCTATTCAGCTCGTGACTTTTCGGGACAAAGTTTAGCACATTGTTTAATTTTGAAAACTTGTTTAATTGGCATTAATTAAAATAGAAAATGTTAATATTTTTTGCTCACACTAATGAAATGAATAAATACATTTTGTTGTAAATGGGGATAGACGATCGGCCTTGGCAAGTCAGCTAGGATTCCAGGAGGGTTGAGCCAATTGTATGCACAAATAATGCATACATGCCATTTCTGTTACTTTCAGGTTGTTTGACTTGTTTCCTCCTCGCCATGGAAAATCAAAGATGTGCTTGCAAAATTTTGACCGAGTCGGAAATATATTTGACAAACATCAGACTTCAGGACAAATCTTGCCAAATTTCCGAAATTCAAAAAGGGACCCTACATGTGTATTCGGACCAATTTATTCAAAGAATCTTACAGCAGCAGTTCCATTCTTGAAATCATTAAAGTAAAGGTTGCTTTCAAGCAGGCCGCATTAATGTCAAAGGAAGCTTATTACCATGGTGTATGCATGTTGGTAGAAAATTGTGGGTTTTTGTCCCCTCCGAGTGCATGAATCCGGAGGCTTAGGAAATCATGGTCGCAAAACCCTAATCCTAATCCACTGCGATTGGGGCCTCATGGCTGCTATTACGTCAAAAAAAAAATTCATCAGGACAGCACCAACATGAACAACATTTCTCATTTATCAATCAACGTACTTTGGACATGTGCGTAACTGGCACTGCATTGACAAACCCTCAAACGCTACTCGAATCCCCACGAGCCAGCAAGCACTCTGCTGTGTCCGGAAACTGGACGCAGCTATATCCATAAATGCATCCGATGCTCATGGTTAAAATATAGTGATTTGGAAAATGTGGCCATATTTATTTATCAGCAGCAATGTGAACAAGCTGAAGGTTATCGAAGATTTGGGGTGAAAAGAGTTGAAAATAGCCAGCAAAAAAATTAAGACAAATGCGAATGGTTCCGGTGTCCTATGAAAATCGGACTTGTATGAAAATTGGACTATGCATGAATCTATGCATGAGCATGCGCAATACCACCAGTGAGTCCGTATTTCATAAAACCTAAATTCATGCTACACCGGAGCGCCCAGGATTTGTCCGCACGTACGTAAGTACGTGCTCAATGCCAGGCTGTACTTTGTGCATATTATGTGCCGCATGCATGCAGCGACCTGCAGCTCTAGATCCTACACAAAAGGAGGGTGCATGTACATGTACACACTGAACGTGCGCTCATAGGCTGTACACCGTACCGGTGTACATTCATCGGAACGGTAAGTTCCCGGTCCGATCGGCTTAATACTGGAATTGAAGATTTAATTACTCGACCTATACAAAAGCAACACAAGTACACGTCTGCACTCAGCAGTTCGTTTTATTCAACAAAACATCACTATCTGGGCTAAAAGCTTTATTTAAAAATGGGCCTATAAAATGTTGACAGCTGAAACTGATACGTTGCAATTGCATGGTGACGAAACATGACGCACCCCTACGCATCTCATGATGTGTTTGTGTCACACCAAAATCATACTTGACGCACCCCCTTTGTGGCGATTTGACTAAACCATTTTAGAGACATGACGCACCTGCGGGTGTGTCTTACAATTGACTGGTGCATTAATTTCCTGTTTATTTTTGTTTTGCTTGAAAAGTAGTAATTTAAAAATAGAACGAAACCTGAAAATGAAAAACAACTTGAACAGAACTCACAGGCTCTCTTCTCGTCTACAGACAGGCTCTTCCAGTCGCCTTGCTCCTTGGCCTTCAGTGACTGCATGTCGGCCGAGAGGTCTACATCATCGACGAAGCGACATGGCGGGGCCGGGTAGTCCAGACGATCAGCGTAGGCCAACGTGGAGCTCGATCGCTGGCAGGTAGAGGCCACAAAGCGCCTGCTAGTTACCCTCAGCATGTTGACAGCCATGACTGAACCTTCACAGCTGGAAGTTAGAAAAATGCAATTAAAAGGGCCATGACATGAATTTTAAACTTAAATATAATTGTGCAAATATCCATTCCTCTAAAATGTATTTACAAATTCAGATGCAAATGCGATAGGAAACAATAAAAACGCCAAATGCAGACGTCTGTTCGGAAATTGGACCCAATCATAAATTCATATGCTGTGCAGCACGCACGGCTAGCCCCACTTGTGTGGCCTCCGTTTTGCTGCGCTGTACATGACACACGTCTGGTTTTTCAACCTACTGAGGAGTTCAGCCCAAACACTGGCGCACCCTTTTTTTGGATTTTTTTTACATAGGGCCTACCACTGTCATGACTGTATATGGTTGTATTCTAGCTGGAGTTACCCAGCCCTAAATTTTATCATTGGGTTGTCATTTGGGGCTGGAGGAAGTTTTTCACTTGAACCAGCAGCATTGGCAGGTCCCAAATTTTTTTTTTCGAAAACGTGCAATTTTGTCCCCGTAACACACTCATTTCAACTGGAACTCACACAAACCTTGCCTGGCATAACCACTACACAGGTCCTTGAAGTAAAAAAAAACGATCCACGATGAAGATTCAGCCCACAATTGCAGTGAAAAAACGAGGGATAACTGACAACCGTGATGATGCCTGGAGCTAGATTTGTGCACAAACAAAACTGCGTGTACATGTACAATTAAGGAATGGCAATGCGCGGTCGATTACCATGCACAGCACGCGAACCAGTAGCTCTTGCTAGCTGGCTGCTGGCGCATGACGTCACGCGGAAGCGTAACACCTGACTGTTTCATGCACTAATATGAGGTTTACCACTCGCATCACAGCTGCGGTACTGGAACGGCAGCCGAAGTTGGGCGGTTATCATGCATTCATAGTGCAGTGTTATTTACGTTCATTTAAAGACAGGGACAATAAATAGTTAGTTCCATAATAAAAAGGGGGGGGGGGGGAAACAGAGGAGTGATAAATGATACATGAGATTATGGAACTAACTATTTGTTGTCCCTGTCTTTAAATGAACGTTAATAACACTGCACTATGAATGCATGATAACCGGCCAACTTCGGCTGCCGTTCTAGTACCGCAGCTGTAATGCGAGTGGTAAACCTCATATCAGTGCATGAAACAGTCGCCGGGTGTACGCTTCCACGTGACGTCATGCGCAAGCAGCCAGCTAGCAAGAGCGTCTGGTTCACGCACTGTGCATGGTAATTGACCGCGCATTGCCATTCCTTAATTGTACATGCAGTTTGTTTGTGCACAAATCTAGCTCCGGGCATCATCATGACCGCACGGTTGTCCGTTATACCTCCTTTTTTCACTGCAATTGTAGGCTGAATCTTCATCGTGGATCGTTTTTTTTCTTCAAGGACCTGTGTAGTGGTTATGCCAGGCAAGGTTTGGGGGAGTTCAAGTTGAAATTAGTGTGTTACGGGGACAAAATTGCACATTTTTCGAAAATATTTTTGGGACCTGCCAATGCTGCTGGTTCAAGTAAAAAACTTCCTCCAGCCCTAAATGACAACCCATGATAAAATTTAGGGCTGGGTACCTTGTACCTTGTAGTTCAAACTCCCGAACGGTCCACCAGGGACTAAACTTGAAGTTGACAAGAGTGGATTAATGTCTAGCAGGGGCTGTGATGTTTTTGTTGGTTTTGGATGGAGCTTTTGAAGGTTACAGAGGAAGTTGTGTTGACAGTTTGATGTGGTAGGGTATTCCAAAGTAAAATGGCTTCAGGAAAAAAAGACTGAATAAAGGGGGTAGATGTATGATGGTAGACTTCAAACTGCTTGTTGTGGGTTCTCCTGGATCTGATAGTTTTCTGAGGTATAAGTTGGCGTCAATGTCAATGTCCTGGTTAAGAATTCTGTGGAGTGTGACTAGTCGTTGCGTCGCCTGGTTTCGATGGATCCCAATTGAGGTCAGTGAGCATCTTGGTCTCACTGGTTTTGGCTCTATAGTCGCCACACACAAACCTGGCTGCTCTTCGTTGGACTTTTTGAAGACTGTCCCTGTTTTTCTTGGTTCCTGGGTTCCAAGCGGCAGAGGCATACTCCAAATGTGGTTGGACGATGGTTTGGTAAAGGTTTTCTTTAACAGTCTTTGAGCACTGGTAGAAATTTCTTTGCACAAAATTTAGCATCTTGGTAGCTTTGTTTGCTGCATAATGAGATTGTTTGTCCCATTTCAAGTTATTTTGAATAACAACACCAAGGTACATGTATTTGTCCTCAGAGACTTCCTGCAGGGTTTCACCGAGCATAGTATATTTTGGTGCTCCTGCTTGACGTTTCCTAGACATTCTCATTATTTTACACTTTGAAGCGTTGAATCTCATACCTCACTAGTTTGACCAGTTAACAAGTCTGGTAAGGTCTGACTGAAGAGAGACTTCGTCCTCATGAGAGTTTATGGTTTTGTAGATGATGTAGTCGTCTGCCAAAAAGCCTTGTGGTGGCTTTTACAGCTTCAATGATGTCGTTTATGAAGAGAATGAAGAGATGCGGACCTAGTACCGTGCCCTTGGGGACGCCACTCAGAACTGGTTTCCAAGGTGATGTTCTCCCATTGACAATAACTCTCTGGGAATGATTGATGAGGAACGATTCAATCCATTGTAAGCACTTGCTCCTGATGCCATAGTAGTTCAGCTTCTGAAGCAGGCGCTGATGTGGGACAACGTCAAATGCCTTGCTGAAATCAAGGATGGCAATGTCTGTAGTCTGGTTACTATTATGATTTGAAGCCAGGTCGTGCAGTGTTGTGATGAGCTGGGTGTCACAAGATCTAGATTTTCTAAATGCGTGCTGTGCGTCAGAAAGGATGTTGTACGCAGATACAAACTTCATGATCCGACTGTCAATGATGTGTTCCATGAGCTTGCAACAGACACACGTCAGTGAGATAGGACGGTAGTTAGCTGGGTCGGATTTCGAGCCTTTTTTGAAGATGGGCGAAATATTTGCTTTCTTCCAGTCCTCTGGGAGTTCACTCTGGTCTAAACTTTGGCTGAAAATAAACTGCAAGACAGGTGCCCATTGGACTGAAGCAGTTTTCAGGGCAGCATTTGGTATCTCGTCTGGTCCAACAGCCTTGTTGACTTTGAGGGAGGAGAGTAGTTTCTCTACACCGTCAACAGTGATCTCCAGGTCTGGAATATCTGGGTAAGGACTGGGCGGCATTGAGGGGAGAACTGGATCTTCACATGAGAAAACACTTTGAAACTGGTCGGCGTGCTTGTTGGCCTTGGTTTGGTCGTCGACAACTGTCACATTACCAACTTTCAAGGTCTGGATACCAACATTATCCTTTCGCCGAGATCTTACGTAGTTCCAGAATTTCTTGGTGTTGTTAGAAGATGATAGATCAGCTACATACTCTCGGTTTGCCTTATGGAGTTCTTTATCAACTTCATTTCAGATTTTCTTGAACTGGTCCCAATGTTGTTGACTGCCGTGTTTTATGGCTTTTAAGTAGAAGCGCTCTCTCTTCCTGCAGAGTCTTTTATGTCTCTGTGTGAACCATGGCGGGCGTTGCTGACCTTTGACCTGCTTACTAGAGACATGTTTCCTGACAAGGTTCGTGATGGTGTTTTTGAGGGAGCACCAGTTTTCGTTAACAGTCTTTTGTTCCGGTTTACTCTCCAGAAACTTGTCAGCGAAGTTTTGGGCGTCCTCCTTAAAACCTTGCTCATTCAACTTGCTCCAAATATAAAACAGTCCTTGGTGGTTTCACAGGGATGGAAGTTTGTGTCTCTATTTCAACCATAACAGTACTGTGGTCGGCAAAGGAAGTGTGGGGATACACGTTGATCACATGTGAAGGTCTTGTTGAGAAACAAAGATCAAGGAAGTTTGCCGTTCCATTCACATTTCTACGTGTCGGAAAGGTCACAATCTGCTCCATACTGTGGTCACCGGCGATATCGATAATCTGTTCCTGAAGAAGGCCATGAAAATCAATTGAGTCAGTGTTCCACTTCATGTTCGGGATATTGAAATCCCCTCCAACGATAATGTACGGTGATTTCGATTCCTGTTAAATTGATTAAGGCTGGCGTCTAACATATATATCCAAGTCGTCTTTAGCAGCCGGGGGCCTGTAGTAGCTTCTAATAAAGATGCTCTCTGGTCCCATCTGCAACTGACACCAGGCTTGTTCACTGGATTTGTGAACAAGATCTGGTCTTTCTATACGGGGCAAAGCTGGTTTTGTTGATGATACTCATACGATCTATTTGAGACCTCAGTACAACCTACATGTATATCATATGTGCCCACATGTCACACCCATTACACTGCATGGCTTTGTCATTGTTCTTGACAGAGAAGGTACACATAACACATGGGTCTTTTGGTTTACGGCCACGCCTTGTTGGGCCTGGATTAAGTTCAATGTCCCCACTAAGCATGTTAACTAATAAAACAGTAGCACATAGTCCTTTCGGTAGTTGTTGCGGGTATACGCCATACTTCATGCCCCGTCCAAAACTTGGTCGGATTGTACAGGCATACGAGATGAAATATATAGTTTGCAGTCTTGGTCTAACAGCATAACACAGTTTGGTACAGGGATAAGAAAAAGGAACATTCCTACCATAGTTCTGATGTTTTGCAAACATGTAGATACTGTGGGTGGGATTGGTGGCTTGTTTAGGGGTGGCATGATGACATCAAAAACGTGCTCCACAGTTTCACAACGGAAAAAAGTTCACGATTGTAGATAAAATAAACGAGGATGTGCGAGTAAAAACATGGATAAAAAGGGATAAAGATCAAGGGGGTCGGAGGTTATAAAAACGCGTCCACTCTCGTTGAATAGCGCCCTCGCGGTAACTCCACTCTCCAGCTAGTTGTATTCTATGATTTCTCATCTTTTGCCCTCCTAGTACTAGATTAGGTAATCTTTCTTCAAATTTTTCGGGAAATTTAGACATCTTTCTGGAGTCCATATGCGCCAGTTTTTAAAACTCCTCAGTACTCAGTGGGTTGGGAAACCAGACGTGTGGTCTATCGTACAGCGCAGCAATACGGAGGCCACACAAGTGGGGCTAACGCACGGCTGGCATGCCATGGCGGAAACAGGTCAACTCGTACGCGAACCAACTCGTACGCGAGACAACTCGTACGCGGATTGGTCAACTCGTACGCGAGACAACTCGTACGCCAGCCAACTCGTACGCAAGACAACTCGTACGCGGACCAACTCGTACGCGAACCAACTCGTACACCAGGCAACTCGTACGCGGACCGAAATAAGCAAATTTAAAATGAACGATGTTTACGATCGCCAAAAGTTTACCCCAAAACACACGCCAAAGTTATCGATTTATCACAGTACACAGTACGATTGTATGACTGAATTACTATGATTGTAGCATATGTATTTTCAACAGTTTAAATTCCATAAATACAACGATGTCAAGTTCAAAAGTTTCAATGATACAAAAAAACATGATCCATTTTTGCGACCGATGTGTAGTGCAATGCTGCGGCATGCGCTTCCAACCACGCAGCTAGTGTGGAGAATTTGTCAAGACGTACAACGATTTGATTTACACATATCGCGGGGCCACTATAGCAATGTATTGTTGGAAGTCTACAAATGCAGCGGACATTATACGATTTAAATTCTCACTACGTGGCAATATCTTGTCGTATAGCGTACGGTGTGAGCCAGGATCAGACATCGACAGTGTGCGAGTGGTCCGGGAAAACAAATCATAACTTTTTTGTTATGAGCCAAAAAAGCTGATTTAAAACTGAACTAATTGGGACCACTCAGTAACACAAAATTATCCCCTTAACTTAAGAAAAAAAGAATGTGCAGGACAACTGACCGACCCTAATTTCCTACACGCCCGAACCAACGGTTTCAGTCTAGTCTATACTCACGCGTACGAGTTAGCTCGCGTACGAGTAGGTCCGCGTACGAGTTATCACGCGTACGAGTTGGCCCGCGTACGAGTTTGTCCGTGTACGAGTTGTCCTGCGTTCGAGTTGGTCGCATATGAGTTGGCTCGCGTACGAGCTGGCCTGTATTCGCCTAGCCCCATAAATGTGGCCTATTTACTGGACTGCCTCCGTAAACATAGGCCACACATCCACATGTACAAAAAACGTGTCGACTTTGCCAAATTTTGATTTTCACATTTAGGCTTACTTTGTAGATTTTTTTTGCTTTAGAAGCATTCTCACCCTCTATATAGGCTAATCAGAAAGTGCTGCCTTTTTCAGATGTTTAATTTTTGTGAAATTTCATGTTGAAATTTTGATACGCAAACGTGTGCAAATGTATCTGGAAATTTCACGAAAAATAGACATCTGAAAAAGGCAGCACTTTCTGATTAGCCTATATAGAGGGTGAGAATGCTTCTAAAGCAAAAAACGTAAAAAGTAAGCCTAAATGTGAAAATCTAAATTTGGCAAAGTCAACACGTTTTTTGTACATGTGGATGTGTGGCCTATGTTTACGGAGGCAGTCCAGTAAATAGGCCACATTTATGGGGCTAGTATTCGCCATGGCATGCATGCATGGCAACTATCTAGCTGGAGTTATCCAGCCCTGAGTTTTATCATTGGGTTGTCATCTAGGGCTGGAGCGAGTTTTTCTCGTAACTTGTAGTATAGGCAAAAAATTTGGGAAAATGTTCAATTTTGTCCCCGTTACACACTAATTGCATCTGCAACTCAACCCAAACTTGCCTGGAATAACCATTACACAGGTCCTTGAAGTAAAAAACGATCCACGATGAAGATTCAGCCTACAATTGCAGTGAAAACAGGAGGAATAACCGCTAACCTGACAACCTTGCTGGCATGGCCAGGACCGCAATTGGTTTGTGCACAAAAAAAAATTGTGTACAAATGAATGGCGGTCGATTATCAGGCACAGAGCGCTGTCAACTACTCGTTTTTGCCAGCTGCGCTGGCTGTTGGCGCGTGACGTCACGCGGAAGCGTAACACCCAATGACTGTTTCATGCACAATCGGTTGCGGTTCCAGTACCAAAGCTGTGATGCGAGTGGTAAACCTCATATTAGTGCATGAAACAGTCATCGGGTGTTACGCTTCCGCGTGACGTCATGCGCCAACAGCCAGCGCAGCCGGCAAAAACGAGTAGTTGACAGCGCTCTGTGCCTGTTAATCGACCGCCATTCATTGTACACAATTTTTTTTGTGCACAAACCAATTGCGGTCCTGGCCTCCATGGGCCAATCCAGCAAGGTTGTCAAGTTAGCGGTTATTCCTCCTGTTTTCACTGCAATTGTAGGCTGAATCTTCATCGTGGATCGTTTTTTACTTCAAGGACCTGTGTAATGGTTATTCCAGGCAAGTTTGGGGTGAGTTGCAGTTGCAATTAGTGTGTAAGTAACGCCTAACGGGGACAAAATTGAACATTTTCCAAAAAATTTTGCCTATACTACAAGTTACGAGAAAAATTCGCTCCAGCCCTAATAGACAACCCAATGATAAAACTCAGGGCTGGGTAACTCCAGCTAAACATTTTCCAAAAATGTTTGCCTATAGGCCTACTACAAGTTACGAGAAAAACTCGCTCCAGCCCTAGATGACAACCCAATGATAAAACTCAGGGCTGGATAACTCCAGCTAGCAACTATCTAGCCCCACTAGTGTGGCCGTCGGTATGCTGCGCTGAACCAAAGGCCACACACCGTGGTACCGCGCGCTACTGAGGACGAAGTTTCATAAAATCTGCGGTCCGTTTCTTACATTCTCAGTTTCTTACTTTCTTATGGTTGTATTCTATGATGTCTCACCTATCACTTCTGGGATGCTTAGGTCTCTAATGATGTTCCATTTTCCGAGATATTCTTCAATCTTTCTGGAGCCCATATGCACTCGTGAAACGTCTGGTGATGGCAGCCATTTTGAATGGGACAAGAGATGACCTCAAGTTGTGACGTCGCGTTTATGCAAATTGCTTGTCGAGCACGCGAGGGCGCGAGTTGCAAATGCGACGGCTGTTTCCTGTGCCGTAGATCCTGAGGGGAGATCGGTGCACGTGGCCCCCTGACGATAAATGCATGGTACAGGAAACAGCCGTCGCATTTGCAACTCGCGCCCTCGCGCGCTCGACAAGCAATTTGCATAAACGCGACGTCACAGCTTGAGGTCATCTCTTGTCACATTCAAAATGGTTGCCATCACCAGACGTTTCACGAGTTCATATGGGCTCCAGAAAGATTGAAGAATATCTCGGAAAATGGAACATCATTACATCTAAGCATCCAGAAGTGATAGGTGAGACATCATAGAATACAACCATAAGAAAATAAGAAACTGAGAATGTAAGAAACGGACCGCAGATTTTATGAAAACGTCCTCAGTAGTGCGCGCACCACGGTGTGTGGCCTTTGGTTCAGCGCAGCATACCGACGGCCACACTAGTGGGGCTAGCAACTATCCAAAATGTATCAAATTAAACTGGAGAAAAAATGTGTCACGAACAAATTTATACGCCCACTTATAGCACAAACTTGTTAAGTATTCTCAAAATTATTGAAATCCCTTGTTTTAAGTACGATACAAACTACAATCTACCGAATAACAGACGTATTAACAGAACATACTTGCCGGTAAAATCACGGTGTTCGTATGGAAATGGCGTACGTGACGCGTGATCGATCATACACTTTCCTGTCAGTAGAGGGCGCACCAAGTATTTTTTTAGATAGTGGATATTTTGCCGGAGGTAATGACGGCAAACTAACGTTTACTAAAGGTTTGCCGGCGGCAATCCATATCAACAGAGGGCGCTGTACTCTTTAAGATAGGGCTGAAATAAGATATATTAAATTCCCACCATAAGTTGTGTAGCACGTTTGGTGTAGTGGTTAAGCAAAAGCTCTAGTGAGCTGAGCGGGATGACTCGGGTTCGTACGGTGGCCCACAACTGTCACGGCAAAAGCAAAAGCGCCACGGCAAGCGCAAAAGCGCCGCGGCAAGCGTAACAGCGCCGCGGCAAGCGCAACAGCGCCACGGCAAGCGCAAAAGCGCCACGGCAAAAGAAAAAGCGCCACGGCAAAACAAAAAGCGCCGCGGCAAAAGAAAAAGCGCCACGGCAAAACAAAAAGCGCCACGGCAAAAGAAAAAGCGCCACGGCAAAACAAAAAGCGCCGCGGCAAGCGCAAAAGCGCCGCGGCAAGCGCAAAAGCGCCACGGCAAGCGCAAAAGCGCCACGGCGAAAGCAAAAGCGCCACGGCGAAGGCAAAAGTGCCACGGGTTTATTGGGAAGGGGCGTAATCATACATGCCGCTACTACATCAAAAAATAAAATGGGAAGGAGAATGGCCGCCACCAGGAATTCTTATTAAGCACAGAATTTAATTCTTTGAGAAGTGATTTTATGGCTGAGAAAATAGCAAGGCCAAGGAAAACCGGTCAGGAAATAAATCGTCGATATTAATTTGTTGTAGGATAATTATTATTCCAAGAGAGTTGCTGCCGTGAATCAGAGTTTATCAAGGAGTGGGACTCGCTATCGGCACCATCAGGGCCGTTCCTCATTTCTTTACATTTCGTGGGATGCAAACAATTACAAGGACGGGAGGCTCTGTGAGCTGATGCATTTTTGAAAACTTTTTTTTCCCCTTCCGACTAGCATGCAGAGAAGAGTTCCGTTAATTTGAGCCATTTTTCACAGGTGTGTATACCAGTGTAGGCACGAAAGTGAGCTGCCCAGAGTGTATGAGTTATTTTTTTTTTCTTTTTCAGTATATCATACACATCTATAGGAAGTCGATTAAGGCTCTCCTGCAGGGCTGCGGCAGTGGGGGGGGGGGGGGGGGGGGGGGGGTAAGGCTTGTCAACACGTAACTCGCCCGCGGGCCCATTAGGTTAGAAATTCCCAGAGAGCGGGAATTTCAAAACTCTTCGCTGAACGTTGCTTGCACTGACCGGTTTTCCTTGCTATTTTCTCAGCCATAAAATCACTTCTCAATTCATGGTGGCGGCCATACTCCTTTCCATTTAATTTTAGATGTAGTGGCGGCATGTATGATTACGCCCCTTCCCAATAAACACGACTGAGTTGAAGCCTAACTCACAAATCGAGAAATGGATCGTTCTATTAGACAGTTGCAACGCTTTCGACAGAGGAGGTTAGGTCGTGGATTTCATGTACGGAACGTAACACAGGCGAAGACTTTGGATATAGAATAAGAAAGAAAGAAATTAACTTAAAAAAGGGGGGGGGGTAAGGGAGAGACACTAAACAAAGGAGAAGTGTTATCGTTGAGATGCACAGTTCTAAGCTCTTCTATGAAAATTTGGTGGCTCTGAAAAGAGCCGTTTGCTTTGTTTCGAGTGAATACGGAACTATTTGATGCCGGAAACAAGCCCTCTTTCTGCCCTGCAGGCTGATTCTGCGATGATGTGGAAGACTTTCCACAGGGCAACTCATCATCGCTATCGCTAAGCATCATGAGGTCTTGTTCGGCTTGTTGGTTTCTTGAGCCGGGGGTGGGTGGGCCAATGAGTTCTAGGTTCTGAGTTAATTTCTTTCTTTCTTATTCTATATCCAAACTCTGGGCAGCTCAATTGTGTGCCTACACTGGTATACACACCGGTGAACTCATGGGCGTCGCCAGAATTTTTTCTAAAGGGGGCAAAACATATTTTTCCCAAAAAAATCTTGTATTTCTGAACAAATTCTCGATTTCTCAGTTTTAGACGGGGGCAGGGACATTTTGCCCCCCCCCCCCCAACTCATTCAATTTACACCACTATGACTTCGCGCCTCTTTTTCTTTTCTTTTTTTCTCTCAGTTTTTTCCCCTTCCTTTTTTGTGTGCTATTCCAGGGGGGGGAGCGCCCCCTTGCCCCCCTCGCGACGCCCATGGGTGAACTAAGTCTCAAATTAACGGAACTCTTCTCTGCATGCTAGTCGGAAGGAAAAAACTCTTCAAAAAAATGCATCAGCTCACAGAGCCTCCCGTCCTCGTAATTGTTTGCATCCCAAGAAATGTAAAGAAATGAGGAACGGCCCTGATGGTGCTGATAGCGAGTCCCACTCCTTGATAAACTCTGATTCACGGCAGCAACTCTCTTGGAATAATAATTATCCTACAACAAATTAATATCGACGATTTATTTCCTGACCGGTTTTCCTTGGCCTTGCTATTTTCTCAGCCATAAAATCACTTCTCAAAAAATTAAATTCTGTGCTTAATAAGAATTCCTGGTGGTGGCCATTCTCCTTCCCATTTTATTTTTTGATGTAGTAGCGGCATGTATGATTACGCCCCTTCCCAATAAACCCGTGGCACTTTTGCCTTCGCCGCGGCGCTTTTGCTTTCGCCGTGGCGCTTTTGCGCTTGCCGTGGCGCTTTTGCGCTTGCCGTGGCGCTTTTGCGCTTGCCGCGGCGCTTTTTGTTTTGCCGTGGCGTTTTTTCTTTTGCCGTGGCGCTTTTTGTTTTGCCGTGGCGCTTTTTCTTTTGCCGCGGCGCTTTTTGTTTTGCCGTGGCGCTTTTTCTTTTGCCGTGGCGCTTTTGCGCTTGCCGTGGCGCTGTTGCGCTTGCCGCGGCGCTGTTGCGCTTGCCGCGGCGCTTTTGCGCTTGCCGTGGCGCTTTTGCTTTTGCCGTGACAGTTGTGGGCCACCGTAGGGTTCGATCCCGATCCCCGCCACATTTTTAAGGTTTTTTTTCCCATCCCCAAATAAATAAGGGAAATAAAGTCTGAAATTATAAAATGGTTTGAATCCCATCTTGTGAATACGAGGTTACAACGATAATATTGGCATGGAGCCAGACTAAAATTTGTCACCGAAAAAAGTACAAAAAAAACAGTAACTGCGCATGTTCAGTGATATCCGGCAAATTAACGTTTACTAAAGGTTTGCCGTCTCCGGCAAAATATCCACTGCCTATTTTTTAGCAGGAGCTGGCTCGCAAAGTTGGTGGCGCGGCATGGATCATAGTAGAGGACAAATCAAATCGAGGCCGACCTTGATTAGAAAATGTGTACAAAACCAATGAGAGCTGTTGCAAACAAATTTAAGGAGTCTAAACAAAAGATCGAAGTTGAAAAAAATCCTCGATTTGCACCATAAATAAATCTGTTGGAGGACCGTCACCGCGTTAATGGGAAGGGTTTTTTTTTTTATTGTTAGGCAAAAATATTAGGAATGATCGAGTTCTGCTGTCATGTAATATATTTGTTCCCATGTTGGGAATATTTTTTTATTATTTTATTGTTTGAAAAGTTTAAGATGTTATCATTGTTCACATGCTTTTCCATAAGGTTTTAATAGGGTGACTGTACCAGTAAGCAACATGGTGAATTTGAAGTTCATCAATAGTTCAACAAATAATGGGAACAAATATATTAAACGACGGGTATTAAAGATTTATGCAACTTAGGTATATTTCTCCTAAAAATCCAGCTTGGTATTCATCATTTTCGGATTCAGCACCCCCAATAAGGTGAAAATAGCTCGATTACCAACTTCTACTAACAAAAATGCCTCGTGTGAGAACATCAGACCTAATTCGTAATAACGAATTAATAATCCGTAATAACGAATTAAATAATCCGTAATAACGAATTAATAATCCGTAATAACGAATTAATAATCCGTAATAACGAATTAAATAATCCGTTATAACGAATTAGTAATCCGTAATAACGAATTAAATAATCCGTAATAACGAATTAATAATCCGTAATAACGAATTAAATAATCCGTAATAACGAATTAATAATCCGTTATAACGAATTAATAATCCGTAATAACGAATTAATAATCCGTAATAACGAATTAATAATCCGTAATAACGAATTAAATAATCCGTTATAACGAATTAATAATCCGTAATAACGAATTACACAATCTGTAACATATATACTTGCAGTGGCGCTAATGGGCTTTCGTAGCTATGCGTCTCTGTTATCCTCTAATTTTTTTTGGGGGGGGGGATTTTTTGGGTTGGCCGCGCCAATGCAAGGTGCGGAACTTCCGACCAAAGTGCGTCAAGGGTCAACATTTTAATGTGATAATTAATGTGATTTGATTTCTCCTACGATAATGATGATTCTTTGTCGAATGCATAGGCGTAGCCAAGGGGGGAGCCAAGGCCCCCCCCCCCCCCCCCCCGCTGTAAAAAAAAAATGTAATACAAAAATGGTAAAGACATTTTACCAAAACCCGACGCTAATTACGAATACGAGTACGAAATGCGAGTACATGTATGTGTATTTGGTTGTCCGAAAGTCATGTTATGCCTTTTCCTCTCAAAAAAGTCTAAAATAATTGCTCAAATAATTCAGGGGGAAAGGGCCAGGAATCACCTCAGAGCACAGAGCACGGTAGGATCAACAATTTCCCGAGGCCCTTAAGCGGGCCCCGGACCCCATGCCGTATATATAAAACACGTTCTTGACCAAATTAAATACAAAGAAAAAATCTTTTATACTGTATACGGAGTAAAATCAGGCAAAAACAAAGGAATACAAAAACATATAAGGCAAAAGAAAATTTTAATTCGCAATTAACAAAGTCCAGACATTTCCAAAGCAGGCAACAAGATGTTCGCTGGTAGGGGCGGATCTGGGGGCGTGGGGCGTTGGGCGCCTTTTTTACTTCAAAAAATAAAAGCAAGATGTAGAGCGGGAGTGAGACCCAAAAAGTGAAGAAAGGGAAGGGAGAGACACAATTGGTACGACAGTTCACGTCAGACCATAGCCTGCTAGGATTAGTTGCATACAAGACAGCAATTATTATTGGGGGTCTGTCATACTTTTAGTCAGTTACTAAAATTAAAAAACAACGGGATCAAGAACTGTGACAAGACAGCGCGCGGCGACGAAACCTATGCTAATATGTTGTACATTACATGAAAACTGCACCCAGACCCCATAGCATGCAGGACGCATGGCGGACAAGCCTTCGGCATGGGCGTCAATCGGGGGGGGGGGAGGACATGTCCTTATTGCAAATTTCTTAAAGTTGGGGTATCGTATCGTTTGTCCCACCCTCTTTCTCATCCCCGAATAAATCCTGTAGCCTACTACAGTTTGATTTTAGAGTTCTCATGATAGCTGATTCAATTACTCCAAGCTCGATGTTTTAAAGATGATCTTTTGCTAAAAAAAAACTGGTTAAAGTGGTCAGATATTGCCTGAGATCGCACCACAGAACATCTAGAATCCAACATTTTTCGGGGCCCTTAAGCGGGCCCCGGACCCCACGCCACGCGCTCACAATGATTACTTTTCATCACCACCCTCTTTGGCCTTCAGCGTAGGCGCCACAACTTGCCTTTTTCACACCCACCCCCACCCCACCCCCTTTGGACAATCCTGGTTCCGCCTCTGGTTGGGGTTTGTAAAGGCCGGTTGGACCCCCCCCCCCCCCCCCCGCTCCAAATTCCTGGCTACACCTGTTATCGAATGATGAGATATAATAGCAACATGCGGTGCTAAAATGTCACTCAGGCACTTCAGAGAAAATAATTATTTGATAGAAAATTAGATCAATTGATTATTATTTTAACTTTTTATTCACCAGCAAATCCAGAAAACTGAATCAAAAGTGACTTGAAATTCAGAACAAAATTTTCAGGTTGGAAAAACAGTTGCCTCTGATTTCCGCCGACTTGGCCCTGATCTGAAGCGACATCACACATCGCAAAATATCTTTGCAAATATTTGCAATGTTCCAAATATTTTTGCAAAATCACCATTTCTATGTGTAGCTTAAATACCTGTGAGATTTCTGAGTATTTTTCAAAGAATTTTGAAGTATGGGCATTTAGCACTGGTGTCTATTTTAATACAGGGTTGCATTCGTCGTTCGATCGCAGCGACACGTTTTATCACAAGAGGGCGGTATTAATCTTTTCTGTGCGTGGCGTTTTCTGTTTTGATGATGACTCAGTCTCACTCTCAGACAAGAGACAAACTTTAGTCAGGATAATTTGTTCATTGTTGGTAAGTGAAACGTGGACACGGTATGGGTGAATCTGTGTTTTTATGTCTGACGTTAGGAGTGAGTTAATAATAGATTGTTATGTTGCTCAGAAATACATGTGAAGATGGTACCGGGTACAATTAGCATACGGAACAGATTCCACGGAACATACACGATACCTATGGTAAAACTTAGTCCGAGTAACTTGGACCCAACTTATCGCCTTTTTTAACATTTGGACATGGTCTGGCGATAGTAAGCTGTTGTGCTCACGTTCAATGGCGTCTGACAATGGCGTCTGACCTCGACCTCATGCAAATGTCGTGACGGCGCGCTTGCGCATAATGCAACGGCAGATTCCCCTGCGCCGCGCCGACGACTGTTTCCTGATGTAGAGTGCTGTGTAAGTTCGCGGTACGCCTAGGAGTCGCGCTGGCTAGCCAGGCGCATGGCTGGCGCTCTACATCAGGAAACAGTCGTCGGCGCGGCGCAGGGGAACCTGCCGTGCATGCAGTGCATTATGCGCAAGCGCGCCGTCACGACATTTGCATGAGGTCGAGGTCAGACGCCATTATCATGCAGTTTTGAACGTGAGCACAACAACGACAACCTAGGCAGAGGGGGTCTTCAGAATTGAAGGGAAAATTTCACTTTTTTCCGGATCGTAAGTAAACTTAAGTACAACCATCTTAATTATCTATGTCTACTTGTACCTCAGGTGACATATCTAGTACTTTGGAGGCCGTTTTGAAGGTGAAATCTGATGTTTTTTGTTGGAAAATGTTGGTTTTTGGGACTGTGTTGTCTAGGTCTCGGTATTAGCTTGGACCTTACTATTGCCAGACCATGTCCAAATGTTAAAAAAGGGGATAAGTTGGGTCCAAGTTACTCGGACTAGGTAAAACTACACGATCATCATGATCATGACGATGATTTATCAGGTGAAGGCGTATCGTACTGTCTGTAGCCTACATCATGCACTCGACCATTTGCCAACTCGACTCGGCCCAATTGCAGAATACCCTGCCACTCGATCTATTTTTTTAAAATGTTTTTGGACGTGCGTGCGGCAGCGCCGTACGTACATGTACGTACATGTACATTACTTGTAGACAACAGCCCAGTACGTGCATGCACACGTACGTCCGTGCGGCGGTGTGCATGCACGTACTGGGCTGTTGTCTACAAGTAATGTACATGTACATATGTACGTACGGCCCCGCCGCACGCACGTCCAAAAACACGAGGTCATACGTCACAGACTGTTTATGCATATTCATGAGTTACAGCACGGCCGTCATTTTGAAATCGCATAGGGGAGCATTTTCGGGACGATATTTGTGGAAGATGATGACTGAAAGTCGTCTTTTGGCCAGATGGATGAAAATATTGAGACCAAAGAACGTTTTTTTCGAAAAGGTATGAGTTGCTCTACGACTAAGAACCTTAACTGTGGAAATTTTTGTCCTGGATGAAAAGATAATCTCGATCAAAAGATGTAGCAAAATCGCTACATCAGCGGCCAAAATTTTTTTTGTCTTTTTGGAAGCATTCAGCGTCTGGCCGTACTACAGAGCTTGCGATAGTACTGTACGGCCAGACGCAGTCGGGCTACTATGCGTCATGCTCCATTCCATTGCACTCCCACTTCGTGACCGCGTAGCCGCCAACAGGGTAGTTGGTTTGGACTTAGAATTTTTTCAGCAACTCCCATTCCTTTTGTGTTGCTTCGTTCTCAAGCATATTCAAGGGGACTCCCACTCCGTAGCCTCGTAGCCGCCAACGCAACCACATCGCAATTCAAACACAAATCGGAATTTAACGTGTTCACGGTCGCGATAGGAGCTCTCAGAATTTAACGGGAAATTTAACTTTTCATCCAGATCATAAGTAAATTTCAGTACAACCATCTTAATTATCGATCTCTACTTGTACCTCAGGTGGCGTATTTAGTAATTTGGAGGCCGTTTTGACGGTGAAATCTGATGTTTTTGTTGGGCAATGTTGGGTTTTTGCATCAAGGACAAAATTGTGTTGCTTTGCATATACGGATTAGCTTGGACCCTACTATCGCCAGACCATGTCCGAATGTTAAAAAGGCGATAAGTTGGGTCCAAGTTACTCGGACTAGGCCGCCCTAGCCTTCACGGACGTTGTTTGTCTTGCGTCACTGGAATGTTGGTCAAATGCCAAGCATGGTGCTGCTTGGAGTTGTTTTTAAGTAATCGTGTTAATGAGTTTAAAATGCCAGGTTACGGGGCTGAGAATTTGCCAGGATGGGCGTGATAAAAAGTTGCACTGAAGAATCAGACTTCTAAACCATGTTGGCCTACGGGCCCTTTTAAAAAAAAAAAATTATGATATGGCTGTTCACAAGAATATTCTCGCATGCTGAATGAATATGTGTGCAAGGAGGTCTATGGTTGGTATTTAAATGGCTTGTAGCTGTATTGTGAAGAGTTCGGTAGTCTTCTTAAAGGTAAGGACACTGCTATGTTACGAGCATTCTTTTTTCCTGAGGCGACCTTAGGAAAAGCAGAACACTCATTTGTTTTCAGCTTTCTATGCTTTCCATTCAATTGTTGTATTCTGTTTCTTATAGGTTTGGTGAGACAACAGTCACAGCAGAATTGTTCTGCCATATTGGCCTCGTAGATGAAGAGTACACCACTGCTAAAACAACGAGTAACAGAGATCCACATCAAATCAAGTTACCGCTGAAAAGCATGACAAGAACTCGGCAATGAATGTGTCGTTTGTGACAATACAGACACAACACTGGAAATTTACCCCGACACTAGATTGATATTCTCTGATACCCGCGGCATCCATTTCAAGTTTGAATTGTCACAACAGACGTTTTACCACTTCCCGAACCCTTGCCCCGTCGCCATGGTGGGAATGTTCCGGAGTCACGTCTGGGATCCGGTTCTCCTGGTCTCCCAGATTATTGCCATGCAGTGTACTTTCTACGTCTTCTATGGATTCTGGCTGGTATTCGTTGACTTAATCCTGGATAATCCCAAAATTCTTGATCAAGTCTTCAAGTATGAGGTTAGTACATGTAGATTGCGATTAATTTATGAGGGATACCAGGGGCACGTGTGGTCTAGCGGTAGAGCATAGGATTCATGATCTTGAGATTGTGGGTTCGAGCCCCGCCATGGCCATGCATGTTGTGCCCTTTAGTAAGGCGCTTTTCCTCAATTACTCCTCTCAACCCAAGTGTTGAATAGGTACCGGCATGCTTGCTGTGGAAGAGGTGTGGCGATCCCCCACAGCAGCATTGCATGGACTTGAGTCTGGCCCAATCACTTTGAAAGAGAGATGGGCACTCCATTCCTGTGAACACAGGTTCATCCTCTTTACCTTTCACTGGGATACCGATTTCGATTCTGTACAGGGGACGCAGTCCTAATGCTGTTCGGAATATGGAGACCTACCTTTAAAAATTGCAAACATCATGAAATTGCTGTCAGGTTTGCACATGTAAGAGAAGTACATGTGCATGTAGCACACACAAAACATAATCTTGGTCATGTGGTCAACTTCGAGAGTTCCCGGTAGAACGGGGCAGGATGATTTTGCATTAAAACAAAGGATCTTCACCAAAATATTTACGAAAGTTGTCATTCAAAATGGGTATTTCAATGATTCCGCAGGAGACAGGCACATTGACACATTTCATACACGCTCCATGAGTGAATAATGAATTTTTCATTGTGAAATATTAATCTTTTTCCATAAAGCTGTTCAGAATCGGAAGTGTTTTGGTTTCAAATTATTGTCAACTTGTTTGGTTTTAATGAATTTTAAACCCCTAAATGATTTCTTTATCCTCCACACAGTGCTTAGAGTTTGGCAGCTCCAAAGGTAGAACCATTGTGGCAGTGTACGTCTTGAATTCATTAACATGGTGAGTTGAACTTTGACCAAGACGTCATATGCAATGTACCAGATGGAAACAAAGGATTTTGTACCATGCATCTGGTGTACGGCCGCATCTCTCTTAATACTTCTTGGTCGTACACAACTTGACAATAACACACGTTTATGAAAAGTGGATTCAACCGCTTCCATAGCCACTTGTATTATTACCAGCCCTAGCCAAGCAATTTGGACGTACATGTAGCCTAAAGGTCAGTTCATACTCCGCACAACAAGCGAACGCGAACGTGAATTTGTCATGTCATGGCATTTCCCTGCTGTGAATTCGCAAAAGTTTTAACATATTTCAACTCTGGTGAATTTTACAGCAAATATTTCCTGAAGTTGAAATCCCTTTGCCTTTGCTTTCGTGTGAAGTATGAACCGGCCTTTAGTTACATGTGCATTATTAAAGACCTTTTAACCCGGTTTACACTGGTGTTCAAAAGTCGCGCCGTACCAAATTAAAGTCAAGATTTGAATTAAGTACATGAAAAGTTTGATGCCTGAAACAATTAGGAGCGACTAGACGCGCCAGATGGTGAAAGATTGCTGTGGGTACAGCAGAAAGTCCCCGCAACTCGGTCCTAATTTTCCTAACAATAAAAAACTTCCCCATAACGAGGTGTTGGCCTGCCTACATGTAGATACTTTCTCTATTGGAGGTGGTGATCGAGACATTCAGCCTGTGCTTGAGCTCCAAATGTAAACATTATTACTTAACAATTGGAACACAATGATTCTGATCTAATTTTTATTTTTGTTTGCAGTGCCTTGGGATTGTGGGTTGCCGTCGGGAGAGCCAAGCAGTGTACAGACTTTGCCTTCACAGTGCACCTGTTTCACCTGATAGTGTGCTGGATCTACAACAGACAGTTCCCCCACACAGTGTCCTGGTGGCTGGTCAATATCGTCTGCATCGCCATGATGACGGTACTGGGCGAGTTCCTGTGCATGAGGAGCGAGATGAAGGCGATCCCGCTGAGCACAGTGGCAAGGTCGGACTTATGACCTCGTGAGGACGTGTCTGTTAACCTCCTGACATTTGTCATTTTTTGTGTGCCCAAGATTTTTTACAGACCCAACTATCTAGACCCAACATATATACATGTAAATTCCTGGATGGTCAACATTGTCAGCAAACTCCAGTCGTTTGCGTGCTTCCCATTGACCTTTGACATTTGCTGGGCTACGTTAATAACTAGACTGGGGACCTAAACCTGAAATCACATACAGTAAACTCTCGTTAGCTCAAAACTCTGTTTATCTCAAAGTAATACCCCATTCCCATCAAGAGAATATGATTTTATGTACATAAATACCCCCGTACCTTGAAATACCCCATCGGTCTGAACTGGCCTGAACTTTTGTTTGGCCAATCCATAGAAAACACCGCCAAAGTAGTCATAAAGAAGCATATAAAACAACATCACAAAAATGTTTAGCTCCAAAATGTTTAGCTCAGGTTAGAACAATATGAAATCTGAGGAAAATGATCTGAGGAAAAATACACCATAAGAATTTTAATAAAGAAGGAAAGTGTGCCAAATAACGTGCCAATGATTGAATAGTCAGTAACGGAAGAAGCCATTCATGTACAATTTTTTTATCCATTTGCTTGAGGTTCAACTTAAAGCTATAGTCCATCATTTGCAGCTATCCAAAAAAGTAACTGGCGTAATTATTGTTGAAAAACGTGCTTGGTTGAAAGATAGTAATGGGACTAAACTCCCTGTGAAATTATTCTTTCTGGCAAGCTGTAGTTTTGAAGAAATCAACGAAAGAAGGCCTTTCCAAAAGGAAATTTCCATTAGTAGTTCTTTTTTTTATTCGGCGCTGGCACTACATCGCGTAGCTGCATTCAGCTCAGTGAGAGCGTGTCTCGAACGCTGAATTCAGGCCCAATTCAAAACTTGATTCAGCACCTTTTGATATGAAATCGAGATCCTAGAATGCTGTTTTTCTCGGAATATACAGTTTATCTGTCTAGAACCACCATAGCCCCCAATTCTTAGTATGCTATCAATTAGTGTAATTCTAAGTATGCTATCAATTAGTGTTGTGCAAACTCAACCCGAAACCAACCCTACCTGAAACCGACTTCAGGTCGGATCAGATTGGTTTATCCATCATTTCAGTCAGGTCGGGTTGGTTTCAGTTTTGCGTTTGCGAATTTTGCGTCGGGTTGGTCAAGGCCAAAAAAAAAAAGTCTCCGGTTTCTGGTATGCGCGCGCAATGAAGATGATGTCTCAAAACCGCCAAACTCACTGGTTTGACTGGAATCCTGCTGCTGCACAATTTTAACGTGTTTTTAGATGGAGTTATGGTCGAGAATAAGCTTTATGTGGCCTCTCTGGACTCCCAATCCCATATAGGCCTATTTGTACTAAGTTTAGTCGGGCACCATTTGCAGTCATCCGCCGACATTTGAAGCAAAAAAGTCGGGGGAGGGGGAGGGGAAAGCCGCGTCGCCGCACCACTTTTTGGGCAAGCTCCATACCAGAAACCGGAGACTTTTTTTTTTGGCCTAAGCCATTTCGGAAAGAAACAAAATTCACATGGTGCACTATTTAGTGCAAAGTCACTGTGCCCGGTACGACCAAAATGGTTTCCGGTCTGTCATGCACGGTCTATAACATGTAGGCCCACCAGTAGTTCGCGTTATGAGTGCCATACAGTATGATTCATTTGCCGAGAGATGACGATTTTCACGCCACACTGTTAAGGCACAAAAAGTGGACACAGTTGCCAGATATTCAGGGTTTTTTTGGGTCGGTTTGGTTTCGGGTCAGTTCGGGTCGGTTTACCTTGAATTTTTGACGAGTCCGGTCAGTTTTAGGGAGTTCAGATAGGTTTGGCTCAAATTTGATTTATACCAGGTACATGTATCTACATGTATAATGTTTCAGGTCATTTTTGGCATGGTCAACCTGACCCGATGCACAAAACTACTATCAATTAGCGTACATACATGTACATGTATTGTACATGTATTTCTATCCTTTGGGTCACTTCGCAAAAATTGTACACATTTTAAAAAGTATTTTTGCAAAATCTCGATGTAAAAAAATCACTTTAAATTCCATGTGGGCCGGAAGAATTACTCTGAAAGTCTACATCTTCGCACGAGAACAGAGGGCTTGTAATGTTGAACTGCAAATTTTGTTTTTGTTTTTAGAGACATTACAGGATAACTTTAACTATTAATTACAAAATTACTGCCAAAGCATTAAGAAACAAGAGCTGACAACAAGAAGATTTGTTAACTTATTATCTGAGAGGACACGTGTATGTAAAATAATGTAATTTATTGTTTTTTTATGTCTCGATCTAGCTGGAAATGTATAAACGTGTAAGGATATTTAATTTGTGCTTGGTAAAACCCTTAGATATTTGTTAATGGTGTCAAAAATTGTGTTAATCAGTTCTTAATTACATTGTTTCCTGTTATTAGTGTAATGAGTGTGTTAGAATGGTTGTTGACAAACAGCTTAACAACTGACCAGATTTAAGGAAAGTTTCCCAATTTATAAAAAAATATTTGGCTAGCCCTTTTTTCCAATTTTCATATGAATTTTTTAACATTTGAAAAGTTTCAACTTTCAACCCTGTTCCTTAAGTTCCTATTTCAAAAAATTTACTTATTGTAATTACAGTGTTGGAAAATCATTTTTTAAAACGACATGTAAATGTTTTTATTTCGCACAAATATGCATGCAAGAGATTATTATTTTAATGTAAAATAAAAGTACGTGTGAACCTCTTTATATAAACAAAACAAAAACATAGTACAAGCTGGAATTAATACATGTAATGTCATATTTTAATAAATAAATGCATGTGTAAATGTTTCAAACATGCTCAGTGAACTGTCTCGTCCGTGTCTGAAAATGTAAAACTATAAATTTCAACCTCTTCACAGCTGCCTTAAAAACACCATTAAATTATAAAGGAAACTTGCAAAAGTTAATGTTAGTATCTACATGTACATAATAAAATATGTACATCACTGAAGAGCCAAAGTGGCACCATGTTATATTCTGAATTCTTTGAATACCTTGAAAGGAGAAGTTGCCAAGAGATATATCTGAAAAGTGGAATTTGTCTTAAAGCTATAGTCCATCATTTGCAGCCATCCAAAAAGTAACTGACGTAATTATTGTTGAAAAACATACTTGGTTGAAAGATAGTAAGGGGACTAAACTCCCTGTGAAATTATTCTTTCTGGCCAGCTGTCATTTTGAAGAAATCAACAAAAGAAGGCCTTTCCAACAGTGCGTCCTAAGACCCATCGTTGGAAATTTCCGTTAGTAGTTCATTTTTTTATTCGGTGAAGCGCGCGCAAGCATTGAAACGACGTACACGCGCGCGCGCGCGGTTGCTATAATTCGTCACATCAGTGCGCGACATCGCATAGCTGCAATGGGCTCAGTGAGAACATGTCTTGGATGCTGAATTCAGGCCCAATTCAACACATGATTCAGCAACTTTTGATTTGAAATCGAGATCCTAAAATGCTGTTTTTCTCGAAATATACAGCTGAAGCTGAGCTGAAACTTCATCAGGTTAGTTGTTCAGCACCCTTCTTTAGATTTTGAGCACGTTTGTTGCTTCAAACGAACAAAATGTACAAACTAGATGTGGTTGTAACTGAACAACCACAGAGCTGTTCCCAACTTGTTTTGATTGTCTATTGGACAGTAGAAAATAATGTAATGATTTTAGATATGCTAATTAGGGTCTTAAATTAACACTTCCGGTAACACCGGAAGTAGAGGTCACATGACCCGGACATACCAATTTTTATCTATAACACTTTCCAGTCTGTATACCTGCCAGGTTTGAGATCAATCGGTCAAATGGTTCTATAGTTATAGGTCTGTAAAGATTGTCTCATTAAATATTCATGACATCATTATATGACAATAATTAAGTGCACAGTAATAATAATGCAATATAATTATCTGTCATCATAGCTTTGTATTAATGTGAAGTTTCAACCCAATCAGATTAATAATTCATGAAATATGATATAGGGGTCTAAAATTACCACTTCCGGTAAAACCAGAAGTGAAGGTCACGTGACCTTGACATATCAATTTTCATCTATAACTCTTCCCTGTCTGTATACCTACCAAATTTGAGATCAATCGGTCAAATAGTTCTATACAGTTATAAGGCTGTAAAATTGAATCTATAAATAGATGTCACGTGACCCCTGATGACGTCACGATGACGAAAAGTTTCGGCATACATCTTCAGATGATGGTTAATGACTTATGCTGAGTTTAAAGTTGATCTGATTTAAAATAATTCCCAAAGTGGCTTGTAGAATAAAAACGTGTACAAAACCTATGGGGAAAAGTGGAAAAAGAAAATGAAACTAGAAATGTATTTGTGGACAAACACTGAGCTGCTTCGACTGTTTTATTAATGACTGCCGTAAAGGAGTTTCATCCAGGTCGAATGAACATGTACATGCGTATTCTATACAAAAAGTGTCCATCCTATGAAAAAAAAAGAAATTCATGACGTCATGATGACGGCACACATTTTTTGAAATCTATCTACGACCTAACAAACCTTTTGCAAAAAGAATTTCGAATTAACCACGTTCCATTGATGAGATATGAGTAAAAGGTCCAAAAACTGAATAATTCATATAAAATCGTCATCGTAACGTTACTGCGATTTTTGTCTATAACACTTCCTGGAATATCTGCATACCGAGATTGATACTCAGGTTCTCAAAATATAGTAACTTAAACTATGCAGTTTTAGGATGACGTTAAGTGACACGTGATGATGTCATGATGACGTCATGATTCGACCTGAATCTTCAGATGGTGGTTTAAGTGTGTGCCAGGTTTGAAGTCGATCGGACCCTATTTTATATCATTTTTGCCAAATTTGAAGAAAATATTAAAATCTGAAAAATTCATAAAATATCAGATGATGACATCATGATGACGTCACTACAGATTTTGAATGCTTTTATCTAAACCTACCTACCCACCAAGTTTCAAAACGATCGGACATACCCTTATATGTGAATCACAAAATCACGTTTTTGATGAACTCATGATGACGTCACACATTTTATGAAATTTTGTGCATCTATCTTTCACCTAACAAACATGTTACAAAAAGAATTTTGAATTTACCATGTTCCATTGATGAGATTTGAGTAAAAGGTCCAAAAATTGAATAATTCATATAAAATCACATGATGACGTCATCGTGACGTCACTGCAATTTTCGTCTATAACACGTCCCGGAATACTTGCATACCAAGTTTGAACCCACTTGGACCTCTGGTTCAGTAGATATAGGGCCTTAAAGTATGCACTTTTAGGATGACGTCATGTGACACATGATGACGTCATGATGACGTCATGTTTCGGCATACATCTTCAGATGGTTGTTTAAGTGTGTGCCAGGTTTGAAGTCGATCGGACCCTATGTTATATAATTTTTGCAAAATTTGAAGAAAATATTTCAATTTGAAAATTTCATAAAAAATCAGATGATGACGTCATGATGACGTCACTTCCGATTTTGGATGCTGTTATCTATACCTACCTACCCACCAAGTTTCATAACGATCCGACATACTACCCTTATATGTGAATTTAAAAAAATCATGTTTTTGATGAAATTTTATGCATCTATCTATGACCTAATAAACCTGTTACAAAAAGAATTTCGAATTTACCACATTCTTTTATGAGATATAAAAATTGAATAATTTATGTAAAATCACACGTTGACGTCATCATGACGTCACTGCAATTTTCGTCTATAACACGTCCCGGAATACTTGCATACCAAGTTTGAACCAAATCGGACTTCCGGTTCTGTAGATATAGGGCCTTATAGTATGCTCCTTAAGGATGACGTCACGTGACACGTGATGACGTCATGATGACTTCATGATTCGGCATACATCTTCAGATGGTGGTCTAAGTGTGTGCCAGGTTTGAAGTCGATCGGATTTGAAAAAAAGCCAAAAGTGACTTGTAGAACGAAAACACGTGTTATCCTATGAGAAAAAAAGTGGGGGAAAAAAATAGAAAAAAAAATAACAGAAACAAGAGCTGTTTCGATGTGTACATCGAAACAGCTAAAAAAAGAAAGAAAAAAACAAGGAAAAAAAAAACCTTAAACGAAAACAATAGCTGTTCCCAATTGAAATTGGGAACAGCTAATGATGGACTATACCTTTAAACTGGTTCGAATTCATTATCCAAAAAGCTACCACTGGCAAACGCAAAGAAGGCTGCATGTGCATTAAACACCATGAGTTGTTTCAAGGTATTTGTCATGTACACATTTTTGTAACCACTAAAAATTCTAAGTTGTCATAAACAATAACTCATTAATAATGTCTTTCATAGTTTGAGAGAAACTGGAGCAGAGATACATGATGAACATGTACATGTTACAGATTTGCATGAAAGCACACCCAACACGATATCTTTGCACTCCTCATTTACAGCTTTCAGTAGAGGTTTCTTGAAATTTCGGACGGAACAGAGTAAATGTTATTCTACTAAATTAACTAGTAGAAAGTGCAATACATGAAAATACATAATGCAGCTGTGAGTATTTGTAAATTATTTACACGAGTTTTTTTAGCACGTTGAGTTGGAATGTTTTTGAATACACCATCCCAATCTTCGGAAAAACTGTTACTAAAAATGTCCACACATTCAAAGTTGTCTTTAAAATCATATCCTTAAAATGAATTTCAGCAGATTAGGAAAATGTTTGGAAAGTAAAAATAAGAACCCCCCCCCTTTCTTTTAAAACTTATAGTTGATAAATCAGATACATCTATGTGATTTACATTACAAACTTGCATAAAAGTTTGGCTGTTTTTGGAGAGTATATTTCATCAAAGAACAAAAAACACCCTATTTCATCACCAAAAAAGCTAATACAGAGATGACACAATTTCATAAATACATATACCTTAAACAATTTTGCCAAGTTGATGTGTGTTTCTACCCTGTTAGAGTTACAGTAAAAACCAAGTCATGACAGTCTACCCACAAAACACTGGATCTGGCAAATGCTTCTATGTGTTAATGTAATCCATATCATTGCATAACCCAATGACACAGAATATTCACTTTGTACTGGAGAAAATTGCTTGGACTTGACCAACTTACAATAACATCTTTAAGACACGTTTTAAGGCACAGATCTTGAAATATTCACAATGACAATAATACAGCTGAAAGTGAACATGGGTTGTTTGAAAAGTCTTAAGTTGTAAACAGCATCTGTAGATTAATCCAACATTAACCCACCAATTTGGTATGAATAATCAAACGTTAACACCAGAACAGCAAGAGTAAGGTGCAACATACAAGATAAGTAATTCAACAAATGTATATACATTGTACTTATGAAACTGTTTACACATTAAATTTGAACTGTTAAAACCAATAATATTTAAACGTTCTTGCATTGAATACTTGTATATAGCCAGGCACTTGTAGATATGCATATTAAGTCGTAAATGTTTATTATTGCTTACATATAATGTAGTAATGCTAACATATCAAATGGCATGCTAAAAATTGCCTTGTAACAGGTTACTTACTTTAGGTTAACAAATACAAATTTAAAGTCATCCAAAGTACATGTAGGAGCGATTACTGAAGTGTAACTTTTACTTTCCCAGCACCACACTATTGCCATGGCCTTTCAACTGAACTGTCTTCACTGGTACACATGTACACTCTCATAAACATCAATAGATGTCAGCCACGTGCAAACCAGAGAAAACTATAAGTCGGTCATTCTATAAATTACATCTACAATCTGTGATTTTATAATTCTGATGCACTCCTTAATGCAGTCGTCCTCTAAGAGTGATGCTGAATAGCAAACTACCTACCCGACAAATAGAAATCATTTGAAAAACCATTCTTAATCATGATGATGCTTGAGAGGTAAATTACAAAGTGTGTAACTTACAAAGTGTCAAGGTAACGGGCAAAGAAAAATGTCCTGCTTTGGACCTTAAATTTATACGACCAAAGTACCCTTGCTGCAAGGCAATACAGAGCAATGCCTTTAGTATTTGTGTGGACTCCGAGTCCACTACCAGACTTAATGTGCACCTTGAATTGAGTTTTAAGGGTAAAATGCATGGTACTACCCAAAGTTTGCCTTTAACATGTAAATGTGCCCTGGCCTACACTGCGTTATGGGGAAGTTTTTTATTGTTAGGCAAATAAGGACTGAGTTATGGGCACTTTCTGCTGTCCCCACGGCATTTTTGGTCCCCACAAATACCTCGTACAGACGAGTGTACATGTATGTCCCACAACTACGGAACAAGACAATGTGTACTTGTTCTACATAACCCCCCCAAGGACAGACACACAAAGGGAGAACAACAGATCCTTTCAGTCCTTGGGCATGTTGGGAGTTGGGTCTTTTTTTTCAAAACAGTCCTCTGTAGTAGGTTTGTGTGCTTAGTCTATGGGAGAGTGTTATATTACAGGGACAAAGGAAAACACAAAGCATTGTCCTCGGGAGTATAGTAAAACAAGAGTGTGTGTACTTGTTATGTATTACCCTCTATGTTTCTTACACAGCATGCGGCTCTCAAGGCAAACAATGAACCCCCCCCCCTCAAAAAAGAGTAAAATAGAAGAAATAAAATTCTCAAACTTCACTTTCATTGGAGATATGGAGAGAAGATAAGCTCTTTTTATGTTTACAACACTGTCAGGCTGTAAAACGTCTGTGAAATTGGAAAATTCAAGAACTTACTTAAGCAAATTGCATCTTTAAAAAAAGGTTTATTGGCAAATGCTACCTTGCAACTTACATGTATACTCCCAATTTGTGGAAGGTTTCATACAATAAATTCTCCACATAAACAATTCATTGCCACTATCAAACTTAGCATTACAATTAGCACACAACAGTGAATATTTGCACCCTCAATGCTCATAAAGTTGGCTCAGTGGGCAATTAAACAACAACAAAACTCTTCAAAATTTCTTTAAAACAATTACAATAACAATCAAATGTACATTTTTAAATAATTATTTAATGTTTGGTCACGGAGTAAGCAACGGACTGCAATTTTATTTGCTTGTTTATTTACAAATAAACACTTCTTAAAGTGAACTATGACTAAGACTAAAAATAACAGAAGGTATACTTTGGTCCGCTATGAAAGGCAACACGGTGTGTCAAAATGCCTTTGAAACCTTCAACTTACAAGGCAGCAAAAATATTGATTTAAAAAAGTGAGGAAAAGATCTTACCCTGGTTGAGTTTTATCCTGCATTATTTTTTTTTTTTCAACAAAACTAAAGTGTATTTGTTTTTACAAGAATATTACCCAGTTGACTCTGAAGGCACATTAAGTAACTTGGATTCGGTCTGTAGAATTTAAGAAAGGCTTTCAATTGTCTTGAATGTATTTCAAGACCTTAGCACAGCTTGAATAGCGCAGTGTTCAAAGAAGCTATAATAACTCATTCAATTCAGCTAGTCACCCTTTTCCCTGTAACACCGTAAAATGAACAAAAGGAAGGAAATCAAGGCTCAACTTTGAAAGTGTTGTTCCTCAGACATATTAAGTAGAAGGTTCTACAAAGAAACGTCAACCAAAAGCAGGATTTGATGCTTCCTTGTTACGCAAGAGAAATCGATCAACTGATGATGGAAGATTTAAGCTTCTTTCTTATGAGTAGTTTGGATGTCTTTTACCCTGGACTAGACATCCTTCAAGGAACCCTCATTTGTAGAAAAGCTCCAGCCATTGTTATTGTTTGATTGAATTTGTCTACCCTGTAGAGGCTCCTCACCTGATTTAGACATGGCTAAGGAAACAACAGAAACTCAATATTTTTTTAGTTATCTGGTTGTCTTTTACATTACCCTGGACAGATAGAATGTGCATCAACTGACTTGGACCTCTTCAGGGATACTTGACTTGCTGTACAGCTTCATGCTTTCTGGATATTAAATTGTGTTTGGCTACCCTGGAGAGTCTCAACATGACAAGAATATTAATAAGAAACATGTACTTATAGCATAGCTCCATTCTTCCTAGTTGTCTGGTTGTCTTCAACATTACCCTGGACAGTTAGAAGGCTCATCAACTGACTTGAACAGCTCTCTGGCAAGCACTCTTTGGGACATTTCCCCTCCTGATTGACAGTATCTAGAGATGCTGAATTATGAATTAAAAGCTCTGCCATCTCAAGGTTGCCTTTTATGGCAGCCACCATCAAGGGGGTGTTCTGTATAAAGTAAATATAATTTTTACAATAGACTGTTAGAAATTGATCAAAACACGTTGGAAAAGACTAAATTCTGCAAAACGTGTGGTTGAATATGTCCTACATGTGTATGCCTTATTGACATCCTGAGAACAAGATTTGATTTTTATTTAATTGGTAGTATACATTTTTGTACTACCATAGTCTTCAACAGTTTAAAAAACTGCACAATTTGCCTTAAGGGCCCGTGTCAAATCATATCCGGGACAAGTTCCAGATACTGTATGGGGTATAATTGGCAGGTTTCTGAACAACTTCCCGTAATCTTCCCGCAATGAAATTATCAGTATTGGTGAGTCAAGCAGTTGCTTATGAAACTTTCCCCGGAACATGTCCGGGACAAATGCAGAACATCTTCTGGACAACTCAAATGATTCTACCCGCAACTTGTCCGGAACTCTTCCCATTCGTAAATCAATTAATCACACCATTTAGATTGACAGAAGTCAGCTGAGAAACAATTAAAACCATAAAACATTCTATCGCTTATATTTGAGAACAACTTCAATCCTTATCACATCGGGAACTTGTATGGTTAAACTATCACATAAAAATGGACCCAAGAAAACTAAGAAACTTAAAATACATAGCTCCTTTTTTCCAAAAAAATGACAACTCAGACAGTAGAATGTCTCTGAATACTTGATGCTGGCACAAGATTTTAAAGAAAAGAACTCCCAGATTTTATCAGCACAAAATGCAACCAAGAATCACATGTCACACAGGGAAATGCCCCAAACAAATTTAATCCTTTATAAACCTACAGTATCAAGTGAAGCTAGACAAACCCAATCCGCACAGTGCAGTGATTTTCAGTTGAGATTCGAACCATGGTCACTAGAGACAGAGGAAAAAGGAAATCACCACTGTCCCATACCAGTCCTGGCTCAGAGTTTACCTTGCACTTTGCATCTCTGACGTCTGGGTCCATCTTTGCTTCTTGCAGCAGATACTCTGCCACTCTCAATGCATCATGCTCAGCAGCAACGTGAAGGGCCGAGGTCTGTTCATACATGAAACTCAGATTGACATACTGCTCCTGGTGTAGTCTTTGCACCTAAAATGGACAAGAAAGCATAGTGCCAGTATATCCACATCATTTTTACTGTATTTTACAAAGCATCTTGCAAGACGACACATATACACCACAAGACTCAAAGCTGTACTCCATGCAAAATTCAGTGCATGGAAAACTTGTTAGGGTAGCAGCAAACATCACAGTAAAACTTCATTTACAATTCATTTTCTTCGTGTATTTCTGTTTGCCTTTTGATTGTTTTGTTTGTTTATTTTGTGTAAGATTATAATGAATTTGTTGTCTATCATTCATTTTGTTTGCTCACTAATTCGTTACTGTTAACTTTATTGTGTTTGAGTTTTTTCCCATTATTTATTTGATCAGCTGAAATAGCCTGGTCGGGCGGCCATTTTGGAGGGGGAAAAAAGGGCCTCCCCCTTCCTTTACATTCATCACTTTTGATTGTAGTTATGTTTGTCCGATTGTTAGTCTGCCTCTGTATTTGTTGAGTTGTTATTTGGGTTTGGTTTTGTCAAGGCATCTCCATATAAGCCCCCGGCTTCAGCAGATGCCTCCATAATTACCCATTGATTTATTGTTCTTTCTTTCTTATCTATAAGATCTACATGTATAATCTTAATAATATTATTTATTACTTCACTTTGTTACACTGTTTTATGAAAATTGTGGCATTATGGAAATAAATGTTGATTAAATTGAAAAAATTTACTTGAAGTCTGAACCAGCCTTCAGAGTGTACTTGAACCCACAATGTGCTAAATAACCCACACAATTTTGCGTTTGACACCCCAGACTACAAGGCCACAGCCTTTGAAATTGAAGTCTTAACAGTGTTTGGCTGACTTTCACTCGGGAGGTAACACACTGAGTATACAGTGTTTAAAAAACGTCGGTGAAGGGCAAAACCTAATTTGATTTATATCGCCCCGATGCAAAATTCCATCTTATAATAGTTTATGCGGTACCCGCTGCTATGTACATCAGATTCGAACCGGCCAACCGATCCCGTTAGCTCGGTGGTCGAGTGGTAAGACATCTGCACTAGAAAGCAGGAGGTCGTGGGTTCGAGTCCCACCCGAGTGATTTTTTCCAACTTTCACTCGGGAGGTAACACACTGAGTATACAGTGTTTAAAAAACGTCGGTGAAGGGCAAAACCTAATTTGATTTATATCGCCCCGACGCAAAATTCCATCTTATAATAGTGTTTGGCTGGTCAACTATCTTATAATTACAATTGTGATATAACAAAAACACTTGACGGGGCAGTTAGAAATGCTCTAACTATTGTGCATGGCTAGCCATGTCACCAAGCCTTTAACTATTGTGCATGGCTAGCCATGTCACCAAGCCTGTAACTATTGTGCATGGCTAGCCATGTCACCAAGCCTTTACCAGTTTGTGGACTGCGGTCTCATGGACATTTTGACACCAACTACATTTAAATAGGACATAGTGTTCTCAGGGTACTGAAATGTCTTGTTCTCTCAACTGACCATGTAAAGAAAAATGCACTAATTCATGGATGGATATGTGGAATTCTGTAGATCATACTTACAAACACTAAATCGATTGAGCTCAAACTGTGCATGCATGAGCATGAAAATGTTTACTGGCCTACCAAATAGCACTTATATCGGGCGGGGGGGGGGGGGGGGGGGGGGGGAGGGGCCAAATTCTCCTTCCCCCGGTTGCAAGATTACAAAAAAAAACAGCTCAATGAATACAGCCTACCTCCGTCACATCGTCTTGCTGTACAGCTGTCCACATGCATCTCATCTCATCGTCATCGTAGATAGCAACAAAGGAGGAGGAGGGGGAGGCTATGTCATCATCGTCATCTTCATTGCCGTGACTACCAGAGAACATGTCGCTGGATACCACCACCTCAGGGATGGGCGTGGTCAGGGTGTGTGGGTAGGACTTGGCTGTGTACAAAGAGGCAGAATTTCCTAAAATCCAAAGGGATTTTCCATTCTAGTAAGAAAATACTCACCTCTGTTTACCTACATTTGCATATCAGCGCGCATGCGCACAAACATTCGCTGAAAAGAATAGCGCCCAAGCCACACCCTCATTGTCCACTGCATGCCCCAAGCCCACAAAGGACCCTGTATAGGTTACAGGGTCCTTTGTGGGCTTGGGGCATGCAGTGGACAATGAGGGTGTGGCTTGGGCGCTATTCTTTTCAGCGAATGTTTGTGCTCACCTCTGCGAAATACCTCACCTCTGTTTACCTACATTTGCAGAGTAGCACCGAAAGTCTCAAGGGGGGAAGGGACATGCAGCTCGTCCTAGTTTTTGTTTGTTTTTTTTTTAAAGGGAGGGATGGTAAACAGAGGTGAGTATTTTCTTACTAGAATGGAAAATCCCTTTGGATTTTAGGAATTCCATTACAGAAAATACCTCACCTCTGTTTACCTACATTTGCAGAGTAGCACCGAAAGTCTCAAGGGGGGAAGGGACATGCAGTGGTACTTGAAAGTCTAAACTAGGCCTACATGCAATTCTAAATGGCATGAAAAGGTTGCTTATATAGACATACCCGGGTGCTGCCGATCTATTCTAAAGGAGCTTTGCGGGCTTTGCGGGCTGCTGATTGTGCAGTTTCCTTGAAGACTTTCTGCTAATGCAACCCTCTGCTTGCACAACAGCTATAAGCAAGGTGTGACAGTGTAAGGGTTCTTCCGGCAGTCCGCTTTTCTGATACCTGAAAAAGAGAGCCCTGTTCCCTGTATCTGAAAAGGAGGCTCCAAGCAGTTGAGTTCAGGAAGTTGTCACGCTGGGTGTTTCCTGAGCTTGAGATTTTGATCCTCGATTTTTGGGAGGGCACTCTTTGGTGGCACCGACAATCGAGCGATCATGGTCACAGAGGCTTGAAGTAAATTTACAGTCATGTGCCAATGGCTATGACCTGGTAACTTAGTGAAATTCCCTTCTTAAGGCAAGCTACTACAGCAGCCAGTAAGAATATGGGTTTCGCAACCCGACAGAAAGGAGAGTTTCAATGTACCTGTTGGTTCCGCAAGGGGCTAAGGCGAGTGACCCAATGATGATACTTGGATCCAAAGATGGTAGGCCTATCTACCGGTACTTTACAGTAGGCGGTCAACTGATAAACCTGCCGTGCATCCGAGTGATTTTGAGGAAACTGTAGATGTATCATTGGAACCCTGATAGAGGACTACAATTATGGTTCATCAGTAACCCTGGACAGTAGATATCTGAAACTGGATTGACTGTCAGCGAAATCCCAAATGAAGGTGCAGATGCAGATCGGGGATTGGCAGCTACTATCATACCCCATGGGGAATCAACTTGCTTCTGACTCTAAAGACTGTAGCTTTCAGATAATGAAAGCATCCAGGTACAAGATGGAGAGTACATGTACATGTAGCAATGTCTGCGTGTAGAATTATTGTTGTGAGACCAAGGTGGTCCAGGAGTAAAGGGATTATGGCTGCTGTAGCCAAAAAGGAGCTACATGTATGAATTCCTGCCGCGTTGAAGCTGAAGGATTCTTCTAGACCAGAGGACTACAGGATGAGTATAAACTTGGCGAAAGGCTGGAATTGGAAGCTGGTAGCCTGGAAGGGATGTAAATACATGTAGATAGGTGCAAGTACTGGTAGCATACTGAGAATGTTGAGGACCTGTGTCTGAATACTGAAGGGAGAAGAAATCATTCTGTTGAAGTGAATTCAACACCTTCTTTCTGGCCAGGTGTGAAACGTAAAGCAACAGCCAACTGGGTGTCTCTAAAGTGGACAGGCAAGAAGAAAGAGCGAGTTCCCCGGATGAAGCAAGTAGTACACTACATCTGAACTGTGGAATTGTCCATCCGGACCAAGACAAGCTTGATTGTGACTTTGGATGAGCAAATGCCAGGTCTTGAGCACTGTCAATAGCTTTAGTTGAAGGAATGCAACTGGCTCTCTATAGTTGGCCAAGTGCTAGGTATTAAATGACCATCCAGATGGAATCTCAAACCCTGTCCGAGGTACCCAATGCGATGGTAGAAGGTGTAGTTACCGGTACATAGTCCTAAAAGGTGCAGTGGGTCATAGCTAAGATGGGTAACTGGAATCGCTTTGGAGGTGACTCTTAGCGTAGATGGGAAGACAAAGGAAAGGCTGCACAGAGCTTCTGTGTGTCATGCACCAGGGAACTAGGTCTATCATCAAGATGCCAGAAGGTTCTGATGCCATCACGTTGTGTTTAACCTTCCCCAGTAAAGCCTGAAACGAAGTTGAAGGAGCTTAATACTGAAGATGAAAAACCACCTCAAGTGCGAGTAAGGTAGACTGTTAAAGGCTAAACTGGAGATACATTTACATGTAAGGTCTGCTGTAGCCTAACATCTAAGTACCACAGCAAATAGATCTGTTTTGCTGTAAAAAGGAATGTTGTCACAACAACGGTGATTCTTATAAAGACCCAAAGGAGGTGTGAAAATCCAAAGGTCTGTAGCGAAACCTTGTAGGTATGTGGAACTCCAACTTCTGATGATCCATGAATGGGTACTGTACAAGGACATTATTATCCCAAAGATTGATGGAAGCAGCAAACCAACCGTCTCAAGAGACTGGAGGGAAGTAGAAAGCATTTCCATCTGAATTCCTTGCTGCATGTCGAGTCTGATAATGGGCTGCCATTCGTCAAACTGCTACTGACTGAGAAAGGTTGAAGTAAGCCGAAACCTGATCCAGTTGGAAGTATCCTGGTCTAGTTCATTCCTTAAGGAAAGATAACTTTCTCTAAAGCAACAAACAAGTGTATGTTGAGGCAGAAGCTCGTGGTCAGGGATAACCGAGGTAGATAAGAATTCTGAACAATGCTTCGAAGAAGTGTCTGACAACCCCTTTATGTATGAAGTTACATAAAACCACATCTGGCCGGACTCTGTAGGACAAATACTTGTTCTAAAGACTCGAAGCAGTGGAGATATGTCGAGATTCTGCTGTAAGCCAAGGATGAAGAGAAGGCCGGTCTACAAACTCCTAGCTGAATCATGCTGGTTTGAGACCCGGTTGGAGACCGACGTAGAAGATGTACATGCATGCCAAGCACCTATGAGGATTAACTTATCTCAAAGTATGGAATCCTGCACCATAGTCTTGCTATATAACCTGATATTATGCAAAGAAACATTCATTCAAGACAAAAATGCCCAATAGCCAGAATTAGCAATAAGTCCAAATGCAATTCCACCAATCTAGACAATAAAGCAGAATGATAAAATCTCCAATAAAAACTGTATCAGTTAAGGGAGATATCATGGCAACTTGCAAGGGCACCAGACAAAGAAGAATATTCTGTGAAGGCCCCGTGGCATAGATAGATTGAAGAGTAAGGCAATAATCCTTGGTCTATTGTAAAAATCAACGAAGCATCCCAACAGGCTGATGAATATATAAACAGGCCAGCTAAGCAAGATATTCAAATGACAGAATATCAAAGAATCCAAATAAGGAATCCTCCTACACAACAAACCCCAACCCAATCGTATATATTGGGAAGAAGCAGGGAAAGAATGCTGCATCCAGACGCCAGTAACGTTTGAGTAACAATCTTGTAATGATATCAAACTAAAGTGGCATCAGGTTGCATCCTACTAAAAAGTACTATCCAAAGGTAGCTTGAGCGTAGATACATGTGAGCCTGTAATATGAACATGCTCAAAAGGACCAACCCACTGTTATAGGATGGAGAAACTGAAAGCTTACCGATAGCCGGTCGAGTGCTGCTAATGGAAAGGCGGCAAGGCTGTAGTGTTATCACGCATTTTCACTGAATAAATAACATTATAAGAGAAAACCCAGAAGGCAATCTCGAACATGGGAGACGACTCCAAAGAATAACTAATCACAATCCAATCGGCCCGAATGTCCGAAGTCAATCCTCCGTCCGAGTCCAATTGAAAACGCAAGTTGGAACCGCAAACAGGCTGGGCTCGGAAGGCGGTCCGCGCCGGGTCAAATCCCAGTGCCGTGGACAGTCGAGCAGTTGGTAAGATTAACTGCTGAAGTCATGTTGAAAAACTTCACGACGGTGTGTACCTGGATGAAAAATCCACGGTAGAATGGAATCCTAGTCTCCGAGTTAAAAAGGAACCCCAAAATCCTTCAAAGAGTGTGGAGAAATCCCAAGACGATCGACGAGTACCCATCGGTAACGCAAAGTCATGAAGGTCACTTAAGAAAGTGCGCCCTCTGTAGGGCAAAACCACGTACATATGGCAAGTCTGGTTCCATGTGTACATGTAGCCATGCTGCACCGCACCACGTGTCGATATCGCGTGGCATGCATGGCCCCGTCCTTGTAAATGTTCTCAAAATTTGAAATTTCAGTTCATTTAAATCCAGTGTTCACAATAAAGTAAATATTTAAAATACACAAAAAAGCCCACTTAGTGTTGATTCTATTGAAGGCGATGGAGAAATCTCGGGCTCGCCCGGAAAGCTTGATCATGGTGTACGTCTGTACTTGCGTGTAGTGTTGATGAAGAAGGCGGTGGTGGGTGGTGCCCCGCCTCTGTGACCGGGCGGGCTGGTCGAATTACCGAGGGACCATTGGGTTTGAACGCCAAGCCTCGCCTACCCGCAAGCACATGAGTGGCGATCTCTGATTCCGCTGCTTGCATGTGCTGTAGTACTAGTAGACCGTCGAATGTGCGGGATTTTCCGGGAATCTTGCAGTGACTCTCTCTGGAGAGAAGTGCTTGTTCCCGGGGTGTTTCCTACCGTCGAGCCCGGGAATTACATGTAGACCCGGTCGTAGTGGCGGGATTTTCCGGAAATCTTGCAGTGACTCTCGCTGGAGAGACGTGCCTATTCCCGGGTATTTCCTACCGTCGAACCCGGGGATTAAATCCGGTTGAAGTGGCGTAAATATCACGCTTGGAGTGTACGATGGAGGGTGATTTAATTTCCTTTAGAAGAATGACTTGGGCTAACAGTAATAGTTTACTTTTTTTGGCGGAGGCCGCCATGTTTTTTTTTGTTTTTTTAACAGGCACAGCGAGTACAGTTAATTTGTACGTGTTGACGCTACGCGTCGCTGAAAAAACTAGGACGAGCTATTAGGTTACAGGGTCCTTTGTGGGCTTGGGGCATGCAGTGGACAATGAGGGTGTGGCTTGGGCGCTATTCTTTTCAGCGAATGTTTGTGCGCATGCGCGCTGATATGCAAATGTAGGTAAACAGAGGTGAGGTATTTTCTGTAATGGAAATTTATAATCAAGCATTTGCTTAAAACAAAAAGCAAGCAGAGGGCACAGCAGAACAATAAACACCTAAGAAGTTATACAGAACAGTCCTTTTCAGGACTACCATTCTTCCAAAGAGAGAAATGACAATTTTTGCCCACAAAAAAATAAAAACAAACAAACAAACAAAATTACGAAATTAAGACAGCAAAATTCCTTCACTCCAAATCCATTTCAATCCTTGTAAGTGGAAATTCAGACCATGGAACCCCCCCCCAAAAAAAAGACGCACTTTTTTTAGTGACCATAACTCACTAAATGTTTTTCTAATTCAAAAGATGTTTGTCGTAGGAAAGCTAAGGAACTAAACTTGTAAAATACGTATCAAGATTTCTGTTGTATTTTTAAAAACCTGTGAAAAAGAGGGTGCTTTGAGGTGTTTTTTTTTTTTGGACACCCTGTTATAGGCCACAATAGCACTGACTCATACCAGCGTAATGCAATGGAGTGTTGTTATTGTCCGTCAGCTGTATCTCGAGTTCCTCCTTGTAATCAAGTATGAACTGCGATTGGCGATCCGTCAAGTGGTGGCGCTCTTCTTGGGTCAGATGGAAGATGCGTCCCTCCACTGTTGGTGAGATGGTGCACTGGGCCCTCTCGGCCAGGTCTAGGCTGGCCTGACGCATTAAACTGTGACGTCTTCATATTAAGTAGAAAGAGACATACCACTTTAGACCATGCAGCACCCTGTAATAGGGCTCACTCAATGACGGCCATCTCTGTAGAAAAACTGCAACTGCAAATTTTACGCAATCAAGCACGCATTGCACAGTGTTAAAAATGTTCCAAACACGCATGCTTGTTGCTCGAAATGTGTTTGAAATATGACGCAGCCGATGCACGTTATGCAAGTTGACGCTCAAAATGCCAATGCACATGGATGTCTGTAGGAAATGACGTCATTTGAATGAGACCTACAACTACCTCAACTCTTGAACTATAGAGTTCACTAGGCAATTCCATGAGACAGTGGACACGGCTAAAAATGGAAAATGTATATCTTCAGAACTGCAGAACATCACAACCTCAACTGTGGTATCAAATTATAAATTGTGGTACACGATCCCATAATCTGGAACCAGATCCTGCCATCAACGGTCAGGTACTCGGGAACCCGGTTCCAATGCACAGCCCTATAATTAGCTACGATCTAGTGAGCCCACTGATAAGCCATATATGTCAGCTTAACAAACACAAAATTTAGTGCCATCAAATTTGCGAGTAAATATTTTTTGCATTGATTTTTACCAGCAATATTCATATCTTTAGCAAGGCAGAGTCAACAACATTTAACAAATTAATGTGCATCCACAATGTCATTTCAGGTACATCATTCCCTTTGGAAGAAGACTAACGCATCAGATCAAATAATTAATTTTCCTCAAAGTCAAATAGGATTACCATACACAAAATTGCAAAAGGGCACTAATTAATGAAAGACAGCCTGCTTTAGAAATCATGAAGCTTGAACGTTGACCATGTTGGAGACCATTCCAGGCTATCTCTCCTCCCCCCAAACAAACAAAAACACCACTTCTCTCCCCATCCCAAAATAACTCTTTGTCTACAGAATGATTAGTGCCAATGTTTTTCAAAAGACTTAGGGCGCACTATCAATTCATATCCGTCCGGGATGAGTTCCGGAAAAATGCAGACATTTAATGGTATAAATTAAGGAATCGACAAAACTTACCCGCAATCTTCTGCAAGGTAGTTATCAGTATTGGTGAGTCAAGTAGTTTGCTAATGAACATTT